AAGTATGGCAACCAGCATCTCCACCACCAGGGGCCAAGATCCTCTCGGGTAGATGGGTCTATAAGCTCAAGACCGATGCCAATGGCAGACCTGCCAAGTTCAAAGCACGTTGGGTGGCCCGAGGTAATACCCAGAGAGAAGGCATTGATTATGAGGATGCGTACGCCGCCACCGGCCGCTACGAGACCCTCCGAGTACTCCTTGCAGTCATCACATTGAAGAAGCTATATTCGACGCATTTAGACGTCAATTTGGCCTATCTCAATGCGATTTTGGAAGAGGAAACGTACATGCAATACCCCGACGGTCTCGACTTTCATGGCGTCGAACCTCACGGTAATGTCTGTCGCCTTCGTAAGAGTCTATACGGCTTGCGCCAGTCAGCAGCCAATTGGTATAAGACCCTTAGCAGCTTCCTCCTTTCCAAAGGCTTCAATGCCTCATCCTCTGATCCATGTCTATACGTACGCCACGAGCAAGGGGGTGGAATTACCATCATCTTCGTCTACGTAGATGATATGTTGCTCGCATCGACGTCTCCAACAACGCTTCAGAGAGTCAAGGAAGCGATCGCTAAGCAATGGTCTATTTCAGACCTAGGTGAAGTCTCTCACTACCTTAGCCTGAAGATCCAACGTGACCGTGAAGCCGGAATCATGAAAATAGGCCAAAAAGCCTATATTGACAAGTTTCCTGACGTCCCAGCAACCTCTCCAAGACCTTTCATCCCATTCAGTCCTAGCACCGAGCTTAGGAAAGCCGATGAACCGGCAAACCGTGAAAACGTGAAGACCTACCAGTCTCTCACCGGTAGTCTAATTTACGCCAGCACGGTCTCACGTCCTGATCTCTCCCTAGCGCTTGGGATGCTCACGAAGCATAACCTCAAACCCCACGATCCTCACTTCTCCGCCGTCTACCAAGCCGTCCAGTACGCTAAGCGAACCAGCAACCTTACGATAACCTACGGACGGCCGAAAACGAGTGGTAATACTGGTTTTGAGGACGGATACGGGTTCTGGGGGTGCGTAGACGCGTCATTTGCATCGGATCCTGACACCATGAGAAGCCGTACAGGATGGGTATTCTACCTCGCTGGCGGTCCAATTTCATGGGCTTCGAAGCAACAATCCTGCGTCACGAAGTCATCAGCCGAAGCAGAGTATTACGCTCTCTCGGACGCAGGAAGCCAGGGTGTATGGCTTCATCGCTTGCTTGTCGATCTACAGGCAGTGAAAGTGTCAGACCCAATTCACCTATACAGCGACAGTCAATCCGCGATTTCCATGGCTAAAACCTCAAGGCATCACTCGAGAAGCCGCCACATTGAGACCCATTACCATTGGATCCGCGAGAGAGTTGAAGAAGGCAAAATACGACTCTCTCACGTCGCTGGCGTCTCCAACATTGCTGATGGCCTCACCAAGCCATTAGCAAGACCTGCTTTCGAAGCATTTCGCGACGCATTGGCATTGGAGAAAGCCTGATTCACCCTGAGAGAGTCGAGCATTTACCTCCTACGTCTCATGCCTCTTGAGACATGGCAGCTTCAATACTGAGGGGGTGTGTTGAGATTCATGGCTTGCTCAGGCATCTCCAGGCATTAAATGCCCGCTTCGCCAAAGCATGAAGCTCATGATCAGCATTCAACCTACCATGTATAGGATAGTTCAGGGGAAATGCTTCACATTAAATAGGATCTCTCCTTCATGAAGGAGAGATCAGACTTAAACCACCTCGTTGGTTCTTGGCAAGAGTTTCCTAGCATCATTCATCGTATTCTCCATTAAATTTTAACAAACTGAATAAGTTAACTTACCTCGGCAATCAACATGTTCAAACTAAGTTCGTGGGACAAGTGTTACACTTCTTCGTCCCTGCAGCCACCGACGCCATTGAACTCGAACCTAATTCCGAATGCTCACCGAACATATCACCTTCTACACCGCAAGTATAGAGTAAACAATGACATCAAAATGACAGGTTCTCATTCCAAACAAGCTACATACAAGCAACAAGTAAAACAGCCAAAGCTCAAAGCAAAAGGTATCCGCCTCAAGACAAAAACAATCCATATATCAGGATCTAGATATACTGCCACGCAGGAACATCCCCCTCATAAGTAATCGCCATAGCCGAAAATCCAAGACACTCATTAACATCCCCCTTAGGAACAGTAGCATTAGCCAAAGCCCCAAAAACCTGCCAACGGTTATCCTCAGTCGGACATGCCATAAATCCACTAGCCCCCCAACCCCGGTAAAAGTAATGCGACCAAGGCTCGCCCGCCTCATAAACAAACGGCCCGTACGAAGACCCAGCGGGGATATTGGCAGAATGAGCCTGAGTGAAGCTCAACGCGCCGTTCGGGTCGATGTACACCTGCTGTCCGCCGGGTACTTCTGTGTCCATTGATGTGCCGCCTGGCGCGAAGACGGTTTGGTTGCCGGCTGGGCAGTCCTTTACTTGGCTTGGGCAGTAGCTGGCTGTGGTGCCGCCGAGCCAGAACTTTTGGCCTGCCGCGTTTAGTTGTAGGTAGTGGATTGGGCTCGCGGAGCGGGCGGCCATTACTGTGAATGGGGGGTTGGCGGGGGGTGCTGGGGCTGCTGTGGCGAGCAGGGGGAGCGCGAGGGCTGTGAGGGTGAATTTCATTTTGGTAGCTTGGTTGGTGGTAGTTGAGTGTTGAGTTGAGAAGTAGAGAGGTTGACAGATGGAGTGTGTTGTAGATGAGCGGATTGTGTTGAATTGAACATGAGCAGGTGGCCACCACTCCTTATATAGCCCTGGAGATAAACAAGGCACACATGTAAGTGATCCCCTGAACCTTGGAACACTTCCTTATGGTTGTTCAGGGAGACCCAACTGCCCGTCATAGACTGTCGGCTTTGTCCGCGCGGAGACACCGAGTGGCGACATTCCCATTGGGCGAAATATGTGGACGAACGGGCAAAATTTGAGACATATGTATGGAGTACCTGTATGTATGTCTTCAAGATCTAATATTAACTCGAGTTCTATGCAACGGTGTCGTTCGGACAGGGACTAGCTTTCGCCCTAAGACTAAATTGTGAGACAGCATGACGGGCTTTGCAAGGGATAATAGGCTAACGCCCTGCCAAAGAGATACCCGAGTCTTGCTATGCTCCATGGCTTGCCAAGATGCGGAGGAACTCACTGTAAACGAGGCGGTTCAGGGTGAAGATCGTCATATCCCTGTCTCACTTTTGCCCCGCTAGAGGGTCAACGTGCATTGTTCACACTTCGAGCCATTTCCTACTTTCGCTTTTGTTTCACTTGACGGTTTGAACCGGTTTACTCGGCAAACCCAAGACTCAAAAATAGAGAAATGGAATCTTGGAAGTGCTTGCACTACTGTATGTTTCTCTCTACTGTACGTTCAACCCCCACGGCCCACTGTGAATAGTGGCGCATATCCATAGATAGAAATGCACTCAACCTCCGATGACTGACGCACGGATCAAGTCTTGTCCAAGAATAGTCGGCCTCCAGTTTCGCCAAGACCCTCAATATTATGACCATAAGCGGTGCTATACAACATGTCTCTCGCAAAGCCCTCACTTTTTACAGCAGCTGACATCACCTCTTCTGGGGCCGGATGCAGCTTCGGAGACGAGTAGAATCAATACGGATGTCAACGGCGACGCCGTGGGTTGATATCTGAGTCAAAATCACTCTACATCAAATTGAATAATCAAGAGACAACAACCTCGGAACGCATCGGGACACCAAATTCCAGAAACAGTTATGCAACACTATACAAATGAAGGATCCAGTTCCCTGATCCAATCCCCAGACCATGGCCCCTAATCCATGTACATTACATTACATGCTCAGGTATAGACGTCAAATATTCGATATCTCGTGATCGGTGATACAGGCCCTACCAGGACCGAACCACGCAGCCACCAGAATAACCTGACAAATGACCTCACCCGTTTCACGCCGTCACACATTGCCCAACACGGACGCTTCACCGTTCTGGTCGCTGTTGCCTGTAAAGAGCATGTGGTTCGGCAACCTGTCGTTTGTATGTAAGGGACAGTGTGACATGTACATGTATGATATCTAGCGCATCGAATTGTGGTGCGATGGATGGATGGGTATTGTGTTTCTTTCTTGTGAACTGATGACATGTGTTTTGATATAACGGCTCCATGACGAAATAGGTTCACATTGTCCATCTCTCCATCTATAAGATCTGAAACAAAAACAAGTGGAGACTAGTCTTCGAGCACATGATGTATCAATATCAATGCATCAATGACGTCTGAGACAAATGCAGGAAGACCCACTCGCCAACAGCTAGACATTGGCAAACAAAGAAAAGAATACGCGAGAGAGAGAGAGAATGAGAATCCCATATATTAGAAGTAACGACTTTTTTCTAGACCGGGCAAACCACCAACCCGGAAAACAATAACCCAAACGAACGAATGATAAACCATTCAATTCGATCCGTCTCGAAAAAGAAGAGAAAAGAAAGAAGAAAAGAATATGTACGCGCGGACCATCAGCCGCGAGGTATGAATAGACAGGGCCAGAGGCCAACACAGCAAAGAAGAAATAATAGAAGGGAAGAAAGAGGAAAGAAGAGAAGTGAAAAAAAGAAACAGGGAAACAGAAGGGTAAGACATAAAGCCATAGACGAAACACTAACATAGAAAAGAAGACAAGTCAACACAAAAACCCCAGCACCGGTCCGTGTAGCAATATAGAAACCTGCCTAGGAGAAAGAGGCCCAAACACCGTTACCGTTAAGCCAACACGCGCCCCCGCCGTTTTTCCCACATCTTGATTCATTGGCCCAGTAAAGGGAAATAAGAGGAAAGGAAAGAAAGAGAATATGAAATTGGACTGGCACATTGATCCACTGTCAATCCCTCAGGGTGCGAGATATAGACTATGGATCAGGTACCGCCCTTTTAATAGTCGCCTTCGTCATCGTCGTCTCCGTCGCCGCCTCGGCCGCGGGGTCCTTTTACTCCGTCCTTGCGGATGGGGATCTTGATTCCCTGTAACGCGAAGCATTTGCTGAGTTGGGTACTTTCGATGACGCCCGGGAATTTCTTGGCGGAGAAGACTTGGAACGGTTCGGAGAAAACGGAGGCTAGCACTGGTGCGGTTCCGTGGTTGATCACCGGCGCGCCGTTTGTGGATTCCGTCGATGGCGTGCCGACGTTGACGAAGCTCATTTTCAGACTGGTTTTGTTAGCAATTGCTCTGATCAGAGTTTTTGAGAGGTCCCTTACCGGAAGGTGCCTTCTGTCCGCACACTCAGATCTTGCAGAATGAACCACACTCCGATTTTATTATCCGGATCTGTCAATCGGAAGGCACTGGCGCTGAGACTGCCGATCAGGTTCCGAGTGAACATTCCACCTGGTCCTCCCGACACGGGTTGCGCTGCGGGCGACATCGATGCAGGCATCTGGCCGCCGGCGTAATATTGCGGGTAGGACACTGGCTGACCGTATTGGTTCTGGTATGCCACCTGCTGACCACCGTAGTAGTTGCCCATCTGAGGGTAGTTGTAGGGGGCCTGGTTGTAGGTCGCTGGGTAGGTTGGAGACATGCTCTGTGGTGGGGGAGGGTAAGAGGAGGACATGGCGGTAGAGATGGAGGGAGAGGTAGCGGAGTGCTTGACGAGGTTGACTTCGTTGGTACCGTCGGCATTCCATAGGTCGACAGTGAGTACGTAGAAGGAGGTATCGATTTCACTAGAGGGCAATCAGCAAGCTATCAACCAAGTACCAGCGAAGACACATACTTGATGTCGATTTCTTTGTCCGTGAACTCGTCACGCACGATCAGACGAATGCATGGAGGAGGGGTGATCGGTCGCCGGTCCTAGAAACTGTTAGTGACGCAGGGGAGGAATGCGGGAAAAACACCCACCTTGTCACCAAAACCACACATGCGAGCTCGGATGGGCTGCTGCACCACTTGTAATGAATAAATCCGACCCTCATGTCTCTGTGACACGGATCCTAGCTGATCGGACCGTAGCGGGTTAGACGGGTAGGGAGTTCCGGTCGGAGCTGAGATGCGATCCATTGACAGAGGCGGCGGAACGGGATGATGTCTATCCTCGACGGCGTACATGGTACCAGATAGGAAGCAATCGAGAATAACTTCTCTATAGATCAGATCTTCTTTGTAGCGGGGTGTAGTGACATGCGACCCCGCGGGTTTCAAGACGTCACTGGAGCATCGACTCCGGCAGAAAATATGTCGGTGTCGACGTCGGTGTCGAGGGGCGACTGGATGGAGAGATGGAAAATGCGATCGCGACGGTGAAAGTCGGAGGCTGAGTTGGGCAGATTGATTCCAAGGGAAGTTTGGAAGTGCGACAGAGAAGGCTCGCGTGAAGACCCTGATGTCTGGGTGAACCGCACGATGACGCTGTCAATAGTGCGGGAGATTCGCTGGGATACCACGGATCGACTCAAGCCCGAAGTTTGTGCATGTAAAGTACCTCAAAGTAGGGCGCAGGTGGAAGAAGAAAATATGAGTGACGTTGACTATTTAATTCTCGACCGCAAAGATCTGCCGCAGGAACCTAACCAGACGCTCGGGATGTAACTCTCATCCGCAACCGGTCGTCCATTTCCGGCCATTTACCCTTCGGCTGATTCTCGGGGCCGCCATATATGATGAATTGATGATGATAACGATGAATTGCTTAATTGCTGAATTAACAGTGTCGGGGCACTACAGGAGAGGATATTGTTTACAACGATCCTACAACTACGATCTATTCACAGTTTTATGTTTAGATCTGTTCCCTTCATCTCACAACCTAGGATCATCGTCAGGGCCCGAACCACAAGCAGTCGGCCCATGTTTGACCCTACAATCGAGATAGTTTGGTTCTCGGACTGGGGACCTGACACGAACCGGAGGTGAAAGGGACAACGACAGGGGTCAACACAATGAAAGAACGACCACCGCGCGGAGACAAGATCTGACCCAAGCGGGCCATCCCAACTCAAGACCGACTCTTCGGAGTGAAATGTAGAGAGCCTCAACGCTGTAGACAGAGGCGTGAGCCAGTGGTACATCCTGTCCTCTTGTAAACCTGCCCAAGCCCCTTGCAGCGTCCCCTGGACTTCCATGTGCGATGGTAAGTCCCGAAGGTGTGGTAACTGCCGGAGGAATGAACGGGAGTGATGGGGCTAGCGCGTCAAGGTAGCTGATTGGACCATGGTTATCACATTTGAAGAACGGTCTATGCAAGGGTTCATCCACATTAATTCAGGTCAAATGGAATGTCTTCGGTGCCACTCATTGGGGTGTGGGGAGTTCGCTGAACTGGAAAGCCAAGCGGCAGGAGAGGCCACGGTGAAAGCTGTGTCGTTACCTACCTAGTAGATATGTGGCTTCCAACTGAACCCTCGATTGACAAAGACAGGGGGGAATGTTGATAGCCACGCCTTGCCTGACAGGGTGTAAAGGTGCCAGATGCAAAGAGGCCCATCGACTCGGACGTGGCCAGCCCCTTGGGTGCCTATTTTCATCTGGGCTGACACCTTTCATACCTTGGCAAGCCACCCTATTCCAGCGGGCTGCATAATCGCATCGAAAGACACTGCCAGACCGCTAGATGTCAGAACAAAAAACCGGGGGTTATGCACTGCCCAATGATCATCCCGGCGAGGCGGATTATTGGAGTCGTTGTTCGGGAGTTGATTGGACTGAAGATACATGCGCTCCCCCGCATTGGGTGATTGGCGCATAAGAGAGGGGGAGAGGTGAGAAAGAAGTAGAAGAGGCAAAGAGGCACAGAGAGAGAGAGGGAGGCGGGGGGAGGTGCGGCGGAGAAGACTAATCTGATCTATCAACCAGACACCGCTCTATACTATGAACCATCTTTCGCAACAAATGTACGGAATACTGCACACTGGATAGATGTCCCTTTAAATCACATCAGTGACAATACATCTACATATTTTATATCCAAAATCTCATATCTTAACACTGCCAGTTAACTCTTCTTTTGCCCGGACATTTTGTCCATGTCACGTGATTAGACAGCGACGTCGGGCTAACATGGTATTGTTTGCTAGTTGACTTTATTCTTTGACTCTCTCAGATCTGGCTATGTCATAACAACAGGATGTCCCATCAAAACAGACACAGAAATGGCCAATCCTCTTAGCCCTCATCCCCACTTGGCTGCTTTGGTCCCACCGGGGTGGTCGCCCTATACCCGAGCGTCAGCCTCACCATTCAGGTACTCCAGATGGAGCGTGGAGATCATCTTGGGGATGGTCCTGTTTCTCTACGATAACGTTGTCACTAATCCCGAGCGAGCCAGATTACTTCATCAAAACAGCTCCCATACACCCCGTGCTTCGATGGATACCAATGCGTCCGTCTGTATCCTATAAACTGGAACAGCAAGGCTGAAATTAGGAGACTGTGGCGCTCGTGATTATCAGGCTCCCCACACCGGTTCTAGTGGCAGACCCCCGATATGGTGAAGCAGTGCTAACTAAACCCGGTGGGCCTGTGGGTTCGGGTATTGACTTGATACTACAGCATGGGAAACGCCTTCAGAAGACGTGGTTAGTACGACTCCTCCAAGGGGGTAACTGGTCTAGTCCAGACTCATGGTCATCAAAAAGGCACCGTCGTCAGATACATCTCACCGCCATGAAGCAAGCCTGATACCATGAATGAATGGGTACTTACCGGCGGGCGATGATGTGGGGAGATGGGGAGAGAGATGACGAGAGAGAAAGGTGAAGAAGAAAACGCCATGGAAGAAGGAACTCGTATTTTAGACACAAGACAAGCTGGTTTTGCCCTTCATAGCAGAAGACCGTTGCATTCGCGCCTTTTCGATCTGAGCTGATGCGACCCCTTGGGTTCTTCCCCCGAACGTACGGAAAAGATCTATAACGCTGGAAGTTGTTCTGAAATACATATACACCTATCGGCTAACTACAATGATGATTCTGATAGCAAATGATAGTAAGCATTTGAAATCGAAGATATGGTGAAGCCCCGCACTATGATCTGTGGTAAACACTTAGGTTGGGTGCGGAGACTCAGGTACCTTGGCATAGACCAAGCAAACATTGGCATATGCGACAAGCTAATTCGGCGGAATGAGCCGTCAAGACATTAAAGTCTAGATGAGTCTTGATTTTATTCGCCATCGTAACTTGGGGTTAGCTCCAGGGTGCAACTAGTATGTCCCTATGACACCACACAACATAGAGAAGTATGTCGGCTCTCGCCTGTCGACTATACAAAGTATCCGATTGGAGATCAGATACTCATCAGCTCACCCGATGACGTGCTTATATATACACTCTACGCTTCAATGCAGCCTCCACATCTTTATAGACGGGAAGTGATACGCAGGGCGCTCACGCAAGGCGCACTTGACATGTTGTGATCAGATGCCACGCGTGATGCATTCTCGGAGGTATTTGAAGCCCTTGATTGCCCGGAAAGAAAATGGCAAAGGCGCGCAGCGTATCCCTTTCTTCACGTCGCGATCTTCGATCTCTCGCCTGTATAAAGGTGTCGAACTTGCGTGTTTACGCGGTTGTTGACACGAGATGCGCTGGTTCAACCCCCAGTCCGCCCTTGCGGCAGTGTATGTTATGATATTGTCGCTGCCAACCAGCGAGGCCATCACATATTCCCCGATCAAACCTCCATCGTATCCATTGGCTGTGCGGAGCCCCTACCTCTCTGGTGCGTGCTGATCGCTGATCGTCCCCGGAATCTCATTGACCTGATCGGCAGCGTGGATCCCTGGGAATTCGGTCGCGTCACTTTCCTCCAGCAGAGCGCAATTTTGGGCTGGTAATGATCTCATCTGGTCTGTCACGGCGCGTGTGGATGGTGTCGCGTATAATTTGTTTGGGGTCAAGGTACCCCTGAGCGGAACCAAGTCCGGCACTGTCACCGAGGCAACTTACACCTCTACTCATTCGACCTTTACAGTGCAAGCCGGATCGCGGACATTTACACTGGATTTCTTTTCTCCGATTTCGCCTAAGAATTACCTCCGCCAATCCTTGCCCTTCTCGTATTTGACAGTGACTGTCGCGGCAGGCGATTCCAGTTCGGTCCAAATCTATTCTGATCTCGACCACAGCTGGGTTGGTCAAGCCAGCGATGTGAGTTGGAGTTATTCGACGAAGACTACGACTGGCGTGTTCCAGATCCAAGGCGCGGATGCCTCGACATACTCGGAGAACAGCAATGGCCAAGCGCTGTGGGGAAGCGCCGTCTACGCCACCCGCCCTGCGGGCGGGGGCTCTCTCTCCACTGCCTCGGGGCCGTCAGCCTCGGTGCGTCAAAGCTTTATCTCCAATGGAACTTTGTCTGGCACTCACGCCGAGTGGACTGCCAACGGGGTGGTTGGGTTTGCACACGATCTTGGAACAACCGCCAAGGAAGTGGCTGTGACCTTTGCGGTCGGCCATGTGCGTGAAGAGTCGATCAATTTCCTCGGCGAAGCCCAGACGGGATACTACCGGGCGACCTACGCCGATACCGTGGATGCAGTCTCTCATTTTCTAGACGATTACTCTGATGCGAGTGAGGAATCTGTCACTTTTGATGCACTGGTTCAGTCGACAGGCATCTCTAGTTACGGATCGAACTATTCGGACATCCTCGCACTCTCCACCCGCCAAGTCTACGGTGGTATCGAAATCACGATCCCCAACGAATCTCTCGACACCGGCACAACGCGCGCATTTATCAAAGAGATATCCAGCGATGGCAACATCAATACCGTAGATGTAATCTTCGCCACCTTCCCAATCTTCTACATCCTCAGCCCAGGCTACCTTAAGCTCCTCCTCGACCCCATTCTCCAATACAGCGGGAGCGATGGCTACACAAAAGAGTATGCCGTCCACGAGATCGGCGCCAGCTACCCCAATGCAACAGGCCACCCAGAAGACGGCGAAGAAATGCCCATCGAAGAAAGCGGGAACATAATAATCCTCACCTACGCCTACCAACTGGCAACCGGAAAGACAGACTTGGCAACGACCTACGCCTCCCAACTCTCCCAATACGCCCAATACCTCTACAAAAACGGCCTCTACCCAACCGCCCAACTCTCCCTCAACGACGCTCTGGGCGAACTAGCAAATCAAACAAACCTCGCCGTAAAAGCAGCCATCGGCCTCGCAACCTACGGCGCCCTAACGAACCAAGCAAACTACACAACAGCCGGCAAATCCTTCGCAGAGAAAATCTGGTCAGACCACCTCGGCACCGACGCCGCAGGAACCCGCTTCCTAATTCAGTACGGCATCACACCCTGGTTCCTCGTCTACAACCATTACCCAGACCTGCTCTTCGGTCTAGACATCTTCCCCGAAGAAGCGTACAACGCCACAGCGGCCTTCTACCCAACCGTCCGGCAAAAAGCGGGCGTACCGCTTGACGGGGCTATTGGCTGGGGTCAGACGAATTGGCAGTCGTTTGTTGCTGCTACTGTTACTGGGTCTGCGAGGGAGTTGCTCATCAAGGATTTGCATGCTTATGTTGCTAATGGGTTGAATTCCGCGCCGTTCTCGGATCGTTATTGGGTGCAGGACAGTGGGCAGTATGTTGCTGGGGACTCGTATTCTTTCCGTGCTAGGCCGACGCTTGGGAGTCATTTCGCGTTGGCTGCGTTGGGTGGGGCTAATACTTGGGGTTCGTGAGATTATTTTGTGTCGGCGTGAAAATACGATAGAAACACGATTACTAGAAGACTATTAGTGTCAGTGACATTTTTGGTCTAGCGGTATTTCGTTGTGACATTTTCGTATTCGCATTTGCGTTTGCATTTTGGCTTGGCTTGGGTATTGGAATTGCAGTGCCCGATCTACAGTGCGTCATAAATCAACTTCGATGACAGCAATGTTCATTACTTCCACTGCTATGCACCAGTACTAAAAAGGATATTGATTGAATAGATCTGAAGTCTCTCTAAGATTTCATCACTCCAATCACTCCAATCACTCCAAAAGGCAAACCTCGCATCATTGTAGAGTGGAGCCCTTCTCTTCGGTAACTATTATGCCTCCTTTGTAGGGTTCTGACACGCCTTCCATTCCTGCCTCCAAGCCATTAAGAGTAACCGGGTATTCGTGGTCCAATTTGTGATCCCCGAAAAGAGCCGCGAGCTCAAGTTCGGTCTTGCCTTTCGTCTCTGGAAACGTGAAGAATATGATCAAAGTCTGTAAAGCGCGTCAGTGTGCGAATTCTGGAATTAGTAGCCGAAACTTCACTTACGCCAAAGATAAGCACGCCCAGGTAAAATATGTAATAGTAGAAACCAATGCTATCTAGCGCAATTGGATTCACGTATTGGTTAATAGTAAGAGCTGCTTGCGAGATAGCCACTTGAAGTCCTAATCCCTTGGCCCGAATAGAGAATGGCAGAATCTCGGTCGGATAACAATACAGAAGGGGGTTGTTGGCCAAGTTGAAGGCCGCGTCGTAGAGAAAAAGGAAGACAACAACAGTATAAGAGGCTCCTTTGGACCCATGCTGTGCATACATGGCAGATGATATTGTCAATGGAATATTGGCGATGATCATTCCAATGAACGAGGTCAACCAGAGGGTTCGTCTCCCGACTTGATCCGCAAGTACGGCCCCTGTCAGGGCGAAGAGCAGGTTCCATATCTGCAAGCCACCGTTGATACCGGTCTGCTGGGGCGTAGAAGTAATACCGACGCTGGTCAAAATCGGGCTGAAGTAGTATGAGATTACGCCCTGGCCATTCCAGAGTGTTAAAAGGGCGACAGTAGCTACCAGGGCAATCCTTTTCCTGTTTGCTGGCGACCGGAAAAGAATACCCCAGCTACTCTGACCACTCTTTCGGGCTGCTGCTTCAGCCTCCAAGAAGGTCTGTATCTCTTTCATCTCACTTATCACGAGGGCCGAGTCGGCATTGCCGTTGCTGTGATACTTTGCAAGTAGCTGCTGGGCTTCTTCAACTCGCTGGTTTGCACAAAGCCATCGAGGACTTTCGGGCAAGCCACAAAGAACGGATACCATGACCAGCAGTGCGGGGACTCCTTGGATGAGGGATGGAATACGCCATGACCAGCTGGTAAGCATATATCCTGTGCCGAAGGTTACCCATGCGGCGATGATGGACCCTACGTACCAAAGTACGTTGAACTGGAAGTCCAACATTAGCCATTAAAGCCTAAACATGAGGATTTTTGGATAATACCATTGAGGCTATTGTGCCACGCATTGCCGGGTGAGCCAGCTCGAAGAGCAGCGAGGGCCCAGCAACACAAGTGAAACTAATTCCAAAGCCAACTAAAAAGCGACCACCAATAAACATGCCAGAGCTTTGCGCGGCTGTTTGCAGGATTGTTCCCACAAATGTCAGGCTTGCTCCAACAAACATGCCTATTCGTCGTCCAAAGTGGTCGGCCGTGGGTGAGGCAACCAGAGCACCGGTAAACCCACCAACGAAGACAATGGTTGTCATGAGACCTATCTTAGATGGACTGGGATGTCCCATATCTGATAAGAGCGACGCAGTTAATTCATGCATTGAAGGTTGTTCAAGAGAACTACAGACCTTTAACCCAGGGCTTCATGGATTGAAAGCTTCCGACCACGCTCTCATCATAGCCGGTGGTCATTTGCGATACAAGGATGGTGGCCTGCCATGCCAGCAGCTTGCGAACACCAAGATCCTTCCACCATTTGTCAAAGCGATTGGTTTCTGTTTCCTGAATAGGTGCAGCCATATTGTGAGGTTCAGGTTGATCTCTGGGATTAACACAGACCGAAGTAGCATGATTTGCAATAACCAAGGAGCTCATCAAACTTATATGTCGCCATGACTGACGGTATCTCCCAGCAAAGAATAGATCCGTTGGCCGTTGTAGAATGTATAAATGGCTTATCGATGGTTGTGTAAGTTTGTCGGAGGAACTCGCGCGAGTTTCGCACGAGTCTCGCGGGAGTTTCATACGGTTCTCGCGGGAGTTTTGGCTTATCTGCGGAGTCGCGGCGGCTCCCGTCGATCTGTTTTCGGGTTACATTCATAGATTCAAATTTTCTATGCCCTGATTTTAAATAGAGAGGTCGAGCATTTCTTTCCAAGTAGTGAATTTCATCATAGCAAACATCTCGAAAGTTATCACTACTTGCGTTTCAGCCATGCCTCATCCAACGGTCCATCAAGTCACGGTGGATGATTTCAAAATTCACGGGGACTGGCGAGATGAATTGTTTCAACAAGGATATGTTGTGGTAAAAAATGCGATTCCGCAAGCACGGTGTGAATACTACATCGACAAGATGTTTCAGTGGCTCGAGAGCTTCCCTTTTGGCTTCGACAGAAACAATCGCTCGACTTGGAATGAGAACCATTTACCCACACACATCAAAGGAGGAATGTACCATGGATATAGAGTTCAGCATGAGAACTTTGTATGGGAGGCTCGAACGTAAGTCTTCAATCTCACCTCTATTTGAAACTGTCTGATAGTTCAATTTTCAGAGAGGCGGGAGTGATCGAAGCCTTCGCAAAGCTGTGGGGGACAGACAAGCTTCTTGTCTCCTTTGATGGAATAAATATTACGCTTCCATGTGGTACTGCTCTTCCACAAACGCAACCCTGGCCTCATATCGACCAGAGCCCGCTGCGAGAGGGTATGCAGTGTGTTCAGGGTATCCTCAACTTTGCACCAAATGGTCCTCAAGATGGGGGTCTTCTTGTCATGAAGGGGTCTACGAAGCTTATGCCTGCATTTTTCAGAACTCATTCTGGCACAATTGGCCGAGAAACCTGGGGTCCTAGCGATTGGTTTGGCTTTGATGAAAGTGAAGTGAAGTGGTTTGAGGAAAGAGGCTGTGAGATTCATAAGGTAAATGCTGAAGCCGGAGACCTTATCCTCTGGGATTCACGCACTATGCATTTCAATTGTGTCCCGTCCTCTCAGAATCTACGCGCCCTTGTTTGTGAGTTTTCTACTCCTGTCTAAGCGGCTTTTCTAATGGTCATAGATGCGTGCTATACGCCAGCTTCCTTTGCAAAGCCTGAGATCTTGCAACAAAAAGCGGAATTCTTTGACAAGCGGATTGGAACGGCAAGACCCTTCACCTCCTCAGTATAGGGGTATTTATTGACTGGTTAAACAGACCCACTGGCCCCATGAAAATCTGTTCACAGATACAAGCAGCGCGAAGCGTCCAGGAGAAGACGAGGATGAATCGGCCAAGCGTCTTTTCGAAGAGCCCATCGAGACAGATCTGGTATTGAAACTGGCAGGGAAAATACCCTACTAACACTTTACATATCACGTCACTGGGATTTTTCATGCATACCGATATCAAAAGCGAGAAACTAATCCCATGTTTTGACGAAAACTTTGTATGCAAGGCAAGGTATTGAGGCTAAAAGAAAATTCGTGGTATTTAGACACTCATGTAGTGGAGATGCAATATTCAGTGAATCTTATATTTTTGGTGCCTTAATTTGCAAATAGACACTGGATCAATATCCCTTTTCATATATGTTGAGATTCCTTACAAAAGAAAGGGGTTGGGCTTGCTGCCTGTTTCAACAATTCTTTTTTGGCCTCGTTTTTACTCACTTTTGGACTGTATTATCATCTGCTCTCCGTATCCTACATTCGCTACCTCAAACGACCAGAAATGGTAGAACTGCGACCTTGGTATAAACCAGCTACACCCTTAAGTTTAGATAGCTTGTTGCCCTATCAGTGTCCGCATGGACCAATCACAGGAGGCTATTCTGGCCAATCAACTCAGACCCCGCGCAACGTTCAAAACCCGGCATTTGCGCCTTTATTGGGCTCCTTGCCTTTTGCATAGATCTTATAAATGGCAACCACACGGAAGAGCCAAAGAGCACCTACCGCTTGCTCTAGTTGTGCTAAGCGCCGAGTAAGATGCGACAAGAAAGTACCATGTAAAACATGTCTTTCAAGAGGCCTCGAAAGCACTTGTGCAAGAGAAGTTGTTAACGTCAGAGGCCGAGTGGCAAAGTGCGTGAAACAATACGGTACATGTATCGGCGCTAATTAGAACCAGTGCAAAGCCAAAACCCGCCCTATCATATTTTGAGCTGCAACAAGAGAACGATCGACTGAAGGCTGAGCTGTTGAAAACAATGCCTTTCAGACAGCTGAACACACTTTCTGTGGTTCCAAGACAGGAAAACTATATCGACGAACTTGAGAATCAGGTCAATTCGCAGCATAGCAAAAGTGATTATCAGAGGAAGGTGTGGGACCGAACAGACATTTGGATGCCGACCAAAGACTGTAGCGATGTGCTATTATCTCACGGTTTTACATGGACTTCGTGGATCCATTTTGCGGTTCATCGGCAAACCTTCGATTTCGAGCACGAAGCTGCTTGGGTGAGTCCGATTTTCGTTGATGGCGATTCTCTCTGGCTTGCTACATACTTTGGCTTCATCGCGGTAAGAAAGATTTCTCCTCTACGTGCGAGGCAGGAGGCTGATGATCAAAGATGAGTCTTATGTTCATGGACGAAGATGAAGCCAAAGGAGCGGGCTTACCTCGAGGTCTGATCCTCCACTCTTGTCCTTCGAATTCAATACCCGTCAATCTAACTTGTATTAGAAAATACGTCAGAGCTTGTGCAAAATTGGTACGATGCTGCACTATTCTTCCTCAACGAAGCGGATTTCATGCGAAATCCAGACTTCAAGACGGTACAAGTCATTGCAATACTTCTTGGGCTGGCTAAGAATGTCGGAGATTTTGATCTTGTACCAGTCCTTCAAGCAACTGGAATAAGGATAGGACAAATTCTGGGGATGGACTGTGAGCCTCCTCCGGTATCCGATGACCCTGTTACTCAAGAAATCAGTCGGCGAGTTTGGTGGACCTTGGTAATCTGCGAATGGCTCTCTATACCGTCGCGTCCACATTCTATACACGAAACAGATTTTCGCGTCAGATTGCCATTGGTTCTATCGGATGAGGAATTAACCACGGATTTAATTGACCATCCCGATATGGCAATCCAAAAACCACGTCCGATCGATTATCACAACGCTATGATTCTTCTAGCCAAATCTAACCATCGATTTGAAGTTCAAATGGCCGCTATTGAACATATCAGTGGCGAGAATCTTCTTGAAGACTTCGTTCTGACAACGGATGAAGCACTGGCCAACATTATCTCACAGTTGCCATCCTATCTTCTGGAAGGAGCAGTCACAGACAAGGAGCAGTATCCACCATGGGTACTATGGCAGCAAACTACCCTTTCCCTGTCGCTATTGTTCTATCGAATGAAAGTCAACCGAGCACTACAGCATCGATGGGCTTCTTCTTCTTCCGACGCCTTGCTTGCCAGATCAAAAGCACTATGTTTGAATTCGGCTAATACAATTGTATCAATGGTCCAGCGACACAAGATTGTATTAGCACGCCATCGCCCATGGTGAGTGGCAATTCTTCCCCTTCCGTATTATCGCCGTTCAACTAATTATTGCATCTCTTCCTTACGGAAGGGCAACGACCTCCGCCTTGTTTTCCGCTGCCTTGACCATCGCTACAGAGGCAAAACGCCTTGACGCGCATGCGGCGGAAGAATATATTGACAGAATCCAGACTTGTTTTTCTTTCTTTGAATACGTCAAAGATCATAGCGCCCTTGCTAGCCGAGTGTTGGATGAATTGAGGATATTTTGTACTGATATATGCTGACATATGCTGGTATGAGGTCGAGGCAATTGGAAGATCCGTATCTCGTGTGTAGGTCAAACAAAAGGAGAATAATATGCAAGCAAATGCGCGGATATCCTTCTCCTTCCTGATTTGGACCGTCGAGTGGTTCCTGAGAGTTAGGAATCAAGGACAATAGTAGAATTCTGTGTTGTTTATATTCACTGTGCAGATCTGCCTCCACCGACAGACGCCTTTTCATGCCGGGTAGCTAGATGTAGTGTTGTGATAAGATTATAAGCGGCCTCTCCCAACCTTGGAAGATTGCCAGTGACCGTCATACTCTAACCCTCCACCAAATCGATTCCAGCAAGCTATGTCATGTCTTTTGTGGTGCATAACATTGCCACTGGGGTACCAAACGGCCCGAGCTCGGCGCAGCTCTGCCGCGAGACATGCATCCACCGTCATTATAAAGAGATGACCGATGAAATGTACTGTTTTCGGTGTGATCGTACACTGAATATAACGATATTCTGTGGCCGCGGCCTATCTCGGATCCCTGTGCGTCGTTGATCAAGCGCTTAGATTAGCCTGTTGCAGTGTGGTCCTGGAGTAAACGACACGTCTTTGAATGGCAAATCTGACGAGATCATGTTTTGAGACCGTACCTAAACCTAGAAATCGATCGGTATATAAATTGACGGGTCAGATCTGCCCCAAAACCCACCAGGAAATGTAACTAAAAGATAAACTATTCAACACGGCAAGATATTATATGTGCTCTCTATATAATAGCAGTGATAGTGTGATATAGATCCTCGTGCTTCTCGAATAAAGCAGTATATAACACTAATCAGAAATGGAAATGGATAAAGCATGCGATTTAGGTTGGGGTAACATCCTCAAGTAGGGTTGCACCTCGCAGTCATCAGATAATATATAATAGTTGAGATGCTTGGCCGCCAAGACCAGTACGATTTTAAACACGCAGGCGCTAGTTCGTAGAATTTGATTTTGTTTTCTCAATGTTCGGTCTTTTTGGCCCTAGGAGCTCTAGATCCCAAAGATTTTTTCGAATATGAGTTTCTTACTAATGAAGTACAATCCACGGAAACTATTAGCAGATATCTGACCTAGTATGTCCGACATTTGAGCGCAATGTGTCGATGCGAAGACAAAATCGTTGGAAGCAGAAAGAACTTTGCACATAGAGGCTAGCGGCACTGAGTTATTTCATACCGAGGGAGAGGTTCAATACATTTCAAGCTCCTCACTTGAGTGTTCCAACCACCGGAAATAATTTCTTGTGGCAGGAGGTCTATGATCTGCACCTGTGACGATGAGGGGCCTGACTAGTCCGCAGCGCTAACAGGGTTCCCCGCGGGGAAATAACCGAGAAGAAATCAAAGTACTCATATCGGCGAAGTTCATCCCGAATTCCCTGGTAAAGCTTCATATAATAGGTCTAGTCTAGGAATTTTATGGCGACGTATTCGTATTCGTACCTGTGTACCTAGGTGGATCTGCCCAAAGTGTGGACCACTCCCTCCTCAAGGGCCCATCTGCATAATTCAGGATGTCCAATAACATTGAACGCTATTCATGAGTGAAAGATTTGTCGGGGTAGACCAGCCCGAAACCTTGTAGCCCCAGTCACGCCAGAGCAATTGTGTGGGGTATTCATATGCAGCACATGTAACACACGGTGCTTTGAATGGATGTATAAAGACCATGGTTGATTATCATTTAGACCATCAATCAAAGCAGCCTTCCCTGTTTGCCTTACCCAATTCAAATTCATTGCTTAGCATCCTCGGTGACAACGCTCGGCTGCAGTGTGTCAACTCAGGATACCCGAGCGATGTGGAAGCCACTAGTCCCCTTTCTAGGGGTGCTGCTGCTCTTACAGCCTGTCATTGCCGATACAAATGATCAGACGGATGCGCCAGTGAACCGAGGATCGTTTGAAAACCCTGCTGCACGTCTCCGTCCTCGGTTCCGTTACTGGCTCCCCGATGCCAGTGTTGATGCCGAAATCGTCAAAGATAATATAAAATCTGCCGGTGCGATTGGTGCCGGGGGAGTGGAATTCCTACCTTTTTATAACTATGGTGGAAGCCTAGATGTCAAACCTGCTGATGCAGATTGGTCGAAGTATGGATTTGGTACTCCGTCGTACAACAAGCTGTTCTTGGCTGCGCTGAAGGCACACAAGGAGGCTGGGCTTGCGATGGATTTCGCCATGGGACCAAACCAAGGACAGGGTGTTCCAGCTAATCCAGATGATGAAGGTCTGATGTGGGATTTGGTATGAC